TTTTTGGATAATGGTTATCTTAGCAAGTATGAGGTGATATCTCAGAATGGTTCCTGTCCTTGATATTAAAGCAGTAGTTCTCAACAGGTGGGTCATGACCACTTTGGGGGGGGGTGTCTAAGACCCTTGGAAAACACAGTTATTTACATTATGATTCATAACAGTAGCAAAATTACAGTTATAAAGTAGCAATGAAAACAATTTTATGTTTGGAGGTCACCACAACATGAGGAAATGTATTCAAGGGTTGCAGTGTTTGGGAGATGGAGAACCACTGTGTTAAAGGGGAAGAAATGACTGTATTCTAGTTGTAAAGGACCACTGTCCATGCTTTAATCCTCTTCAAGGTTAAAATTAACTTGAGAGCTTTTAGGTTAAAGAAAACGTGTTAGATGGGAAAGTCCCTGCTTAGCAATATTAGCTAAGTTCAGTGTTAACTTATGTTACTGGCCTCACATGCCTTCTGATTCCTGTCCAGCCGGGAGCTAGACTTAAAACATATGACCCAATCCTAAGCTCACAAAAGCTCAGCTTCAGTACTGACAAAAAACCTGTATGAAGGAGCAGTTGGCTCTCTTGGGTGTGGGTGAGGGCATCAAATCAGACAAGGACATAGAGGCTGAATCTCCTACTTTCTGCATCCTCCCTAAACATGAGTCCTGACGACTAATGAACACCCAGATCTGAAAAGTGGAGTATTGTAGCATGGCTGTGGCAGCTGGTTTAGGGTACCCCAGTTTCTACGAGAGCCTCCACAGCTGGGTACTAATTATCTCCCTAATGGTCTAGTCTTGGAGGGATCCAGCTCTTTGCTGGAGACATAGTGACATCTCAAGCTCAATTCTCCTCCAATTTATTAAATTTTAGCCCTCAGCATGGTCCTGAGCTCAAGCAGCCAAGGCTATTCTTTAGCACTGCCCCTTCTCCCTTGGCCCCCACCATCTTCTAGGATTCAGTGCTTACCTCTTCAGTCTGCCTCCAGTGCCAGTGGAATGCTGAGGAATAACTCTCTTTCTTCCCAGCCCTGGCAGGATGTAGCCCAAGGACTTCTCACTCCAAGGACTCCTTTCCTTGTGTGGCTCATCTCTATTCTGCACCTTAGACCCCATTCTCAGTCTTAGCTTTGCCTCCATAGTTTCCATCATTTCTCATTCCTCTCCTCTCCCAGCCTCTTCTGTTTCCAGGTCCATCTGCTGTCCCCATGCATCACTGTTCTCTTCCTGCCTGCCACTGTCTGCAGGGACCTGAATGCTGAGTCCATGCACTATTGTCCCTTCTTTGAGAGCCCCAGCTTTTACCATTGACATGTATCTTTTACATTTATTTGCTATGTTTGTTTGAGAATCTTTGGCATTGAAAATGTGACTGATTTAAAACTACTGAATAAAGAATAGTACAGATGGGGCTGGCAGCCATTGTTCCAATGGTACACCGATGATGGATGTTTAGGAATGTTTAGGAAGCCGTGTCTCCTCCTGCTGCCTACCTCTCCACACCAAGCACTGTGGCACTCAAATATGCTGATGATATCTCCTTTATGTATGGTGGCCCCAGGTTTTATGATGCTTGCTTAATAATAACGTGGCAAGAGGGTAGGGTTGCAGAAGCCAAACTAAGTCCTTACTCCTACCACAGTGACTTTGGGTGTGATGTCTCTCCAAGAGAGAATGGAGGTAAGATGACCCACTCAAGCTGGCTTGTCATCCAGGCCACCCCAGGTGAGACTCTGGTATCATTTCCCAGGTCCAGTCCCAAAGGCAGTTCTATTTTATTCTTCAAGGAAGGGTTTTGTGAGGTAACCAGAGGGGGAGGCCTCTGTCCTCTGTTCCCTGGATCTCACTTCCCATCTCTGAGAGGTAAGGTGAGGGACCAGCCCACACACAGCACTCTGACCCTGTCCCCTGCAGTGCATTGGCCACCTCTTGTCCTGTCCTTTTCAGCAGGTTGGAGTTGGAAAGGCCTCTGCAGACCATCTCCCTTTCTGATTATGGAGAAGATGGGGTGGGGCTGCTTCCTAATCCTCACATCAAAGCATTATTCCCAGAGTCACAGTGACGCCCACAGTTCACATTCTAAAAGGCTCTGTATGCATTGGCAGACACTGAAAAGATCTTTTGTATGACGGTCAAGATGAAAATGGGAACTGTTTCTTTAATTCTTACTATACAATTGAAAAGAAACTCTTTAATATTCCATTCAACTATTTCTTCCCCCTTTTATCTTCCTTGCTGGTTCTGAAAAGTAAATGCAGCCATAAATATGCAGAATGTGGAAAGCTGACTTTTCCTATATCTAATAAAAACCTTGGGGAGTAATTGAAATAACTTGGTGTGGGCAGTCAGGTTACACGCTGCATAATATCAAAAGAAAATGCACAGCAAGGAAAAGCAACAGAAAATAGGAAGAGGAGCCGGAGAATAAAACCAGGACATTAGATAACGGGTACCTATGAGAAACTAAAAATATCCTTTTAGAATTACGTTCTTAGAAGATCTGATGAGAAGCGTATTCAAAGAAGCAGTAACGCTAGAGAAGGTGAGCATTTGTATAATTCTGAGGAATGTAAACTGAAGAAAAAGAAATCCCCCCTCCTCTCCAGCTCCTGTTTGCTGGACTGACAGAAGCTGAGGCTCTGCACTGAATTCACCATGCCTTTCTTTGTGATGAATCCTTCTTCCTACCTCCTCTTGCCTTTTGCTGTGGACAACCTAGATTTTAAAGGAATGCATGCTGTTAAGACAGCAGAGTGTACAAGGAGAACTGGCTAGTCTTTGTTGCCAGGGGTACTCTTTGGAGTATCTCATGACGGTCTTCATGGTGTTTACAAAAGATCATCAGATTTTGGGTGGGAAAGTGATGTTGACATATCTGGGTCTTGAGAAAGATAGAAATGTTGGCTCTGAAGTCACACACATAGAGGACTATTATACTGTGCATATTTGAAGAGTCAGACTGCTTATCACGGTAAGAGCCAAAGTTTACCTGTAAGCCCCACTTGCCCAAGGACAAGACAGCTTTCTGGAATGCTGGGAGCTGTAGTTCATGGGAAACAACAAGGCACATGGTTTCACTCCTAAACAAGTTGGTTTGAACCAATTATACTGGATGTGCTTGATCACATGTAGTCAGGAGGTACTTAGACAGGAAATATGTCAGAGTGTATGCTTGCCCCTGGTGGGACCTGATGAAAAATGCAGTGAATTATGGGTTTTGCTGAAAAGTATGACTCATGGCCATTCCCTGGGAACCCAGGGGTGGACCTGGCCAGAGTCCATCTTCTTGGCCAGTATTTAATTAAACTTGCTTTAAATTTGGCTCAGAATTGTAGAACTGGTTTCTCTCTTGTGGATTTCAGGATTAACAATCACCCTGCCTTAACTGCATACTTTTATCCCATTGTTTTTTCTAGATTCAATTTCTTTCTAGGGTTTTGTTTTATTTTTGTTTTGTATAAAAAATAATACCTTTCAGAAAAATAGAGTTGGAGGGATGGAAAAAAATAACCACTCAAAATTTCTCAAACAACAGTCTTAGGGCGTGTCTTACTAATCTTTTTTCTTAGATACAGCCTTTTCCCATTTATTTTAAAACGTGGAAAAAAATTAGCTATAATATCCAATTTCATGGTCTAATTTTCTTTTGTCTATATTTTATCTTTCCAGTTTAAAAAATAGACTATTAGACATAATTCCTGAGGAGTTGAATAATGTTCCATAGATATGAGCTTCTGCCTTTTCCCAGTCTGTATTGGAAATGAGTCTTGGGAGCACTGGGGGCTCTTTGAGTCTCTCAGTAAAGCAGAGAAGTACAGGTAAGGGCTTGTATCTGTGGGGATTCACAAGCAGCTTCCATGTGCATTGTCCACTCCTACTAGCTGTGTTCACGTGTAGAGCAAGGCTAACCTTTCTCTACAGATCATTGCAGATAGCAGGGCAGTGGAGGCATGACCGTCATTAGTGTTTGAGTGGCGTTAGACAAGGTGGGCAGGTTTCAGTCATGTAACTTGCTATATCTGTGACCTGGAACAAAGCTCTTGACCAGTCCATGTCTCCTTTTTTTCTGAGCTGCAGCAATGTGGATAGTCTCATACTTTCCCCATTCTGAGAAAAATGTTTTAACATATTGGGTAATTGAGTTGAGTACTGGAGCCAACGTGTACATTGTAAGTTTTCTTTCCCATTTCTACCATAACACTCCCAGAGTGATTGCAATCAATGCTATCTTAGTTCTGAGGAAATATAATAATACTTACTGACAGTGTTTATTGTGGAAAGGATTAACTGAAATACATATACATATACATCTACTGAAATATGTTTTTCATCATTTGGTGGGAGCTCAGTAAATGCCAGCTATTATTAACTGTTAAAGCATCTTTGTCATCCTTAGAAAAGTAGGACATTCATTTCATGTAGCATACTTATTTTAAGAAATACGTTATTTGTAGGCAACACAGTTAGTTAAAACCCATGCTTCTTGGACAACTCCACATCTCCAGTCAGTGAGTGGTGGTAACTCATGGCATTAGCCAGGCTGTGGCTTATTAAATCAGGGTCTTGTGGACATGTTGAAGCAGTACACCACCTCCTAGTCCAATGTAGAGGGTAGAGACTCCCATGAGTCTACCTTTGCAGAAATGTGAGAGAATGCAGTACTGGACAGAGTAGAGTTTTTGCAGTGACCTTGGTTTGCCCTTGTTTAACTGAGGTTCATGTAGGTCATGCTTTTTGAGCCATGTATCCCTGTATTTGGCTGAGAATTACTAGAACTGTTTTCACTGTTGGGTGACTGACCAGGTCTTCATACTCCCTTGTCTTCATCCTGTTCTTTTCTGTGTGTAAATGGCTGGAAGGCCAGAGCACAGTGCTCAGAAAGGGCAGTGTTGTTGGAAGAGATATTCACTGTGTTCTGGTTGTCTAATGCTAACTTTAGTGGTACTTCTCAAATAAAGTCAATTGTTACAGGTACTTTGTTGAAGGCATAAGTGACAGGCTACGCACCATTTTTTGAGATACTCTGGTAATCCCTGTGATTGCAATGGTTTCTTTTCCTCAAACGATGGTAAATGGATTTTTCTTCAATTCTGAAACAAATATATAAGTATATATTTAATATTAAGATACTCAATGATGACATTAAAAGGAACATGTTTCTGTAGTGATTTTAGAAGTACAATGAAAACGAACTCAGCAAATCCAAGCTTCGCCGACATAGTTTCTTTACACTGTTAACGTATTATCTGGTGTCCTGTGATATAAGGTATGCCCTTATGGGAAGGGTGTTGCTGATGATATCAAAGTTTTGCTTTTGTATGGAGCCCAGCAAAGCCACACTTTTCTAATTTTTCCACCAGGAGTTGCTGCAGTTTCTTCAGCAGCCATTTGTCTTTACCATTCTGTTATTTGAAGGTGGAGCACATTCCCTTTCTTGGCTGCTGTGAGGCTGTGCAAGATGCTTTTGCCTTGGGGTCTGCTCTCTTCTGTATACACGTGTGTGTTGCAGACCTTATAGAAGCACTCATGTCCACATAGAATGATGACTCTAGCTCCCTTCTTCCCTTGTGCTCAGACTGTCTGTGTCACTAGGCCCTGGCTGATGCAATAGAAGTGTATAGTGGCAATTTCTAGTCGTCTTCATTAGGGAAAACTTGGAAGGTGATTCTTGCTCTTTCTTTCTTCATTCCCTGCCTCCATTCTGCTGCCCAGAATAGGAATGCTACTGTCTTGGCCTGTGGAGTCAAAGGTCCACCTTGGAAAGGCAAAGGGCTGAGCTGGAGGAGCCTGTGTCCCTGGAAGACTGGGTGTAGTTGAGCTTAGTCCTAGACTGCATGCTTCTGAGCTTTTCTGTGTGAGGAAAGTAAACTCATGTTTTATCTTGAAGCCATATGTTAAGTCTCTCTGACTTGGAGCTGAATCTAATATTATGGACACATAGCTTGGAGACAAATTTGACACCAGTATTGGGTTATAATTACAGACATTTTAACTAATTTTTGGCTCCTTTTTGTACTATCTTTGATTTTCTGTTTTATTTTGCCAAGATCTTAATTTAATTGGAATATAAGTTAATGTTATGTTGCCTGTACTTTTATAGACTTCCTAAAATTCCTTTTGAAACAAGACTGTATATAAACTAATGAATGATAATTTAACTCATAAATATTCCATTACTCTTAAAATGCACCTCCATTTTCATAAATTCATATTTAACAGCCTTATATAAAATCATCCTTTATTTTCAAACATTATGGAAATCATACTCATTGTATTACAGTACTTGGCAACTGTCTGAAATCCTTCAGAAATGTAAATATGAATCATGTTTGGGCTTTCAGGATACATTGGAAGTAGCATTCAGGAAGACCTACAAACAATTCTTCTTGAACTTTCAAAAAAAAAAAAAAAGAAAAGAAACAGAAGGAGCAGTCTCAAACTCTTATGAAGCCAGTTTTATACAAAACAAAACAAAACAAACCAACAGGTAAAGACACTACCTCCCCACCTCTCACCAAAACAACAACAACAACAACAAAAAAAAAACCAAACAAACAACAACAAAAACCAATCATTACCTGTAGCTAGAGTTTTCTCTCCGGGTCCCACTAAGCCCCGGCAGTCTGATAGCCCACTTATAATAAACACACAGACACTTATATTATTTAAACTGTTTGACCTAATGGCTCAGGCTTCTAGCTATAAAGTTCTTACATCTTAAATTAACCCATTTCTGTAAATCTATACCTTGCCCCGTGGCTCGTGGCTTACCGGCATCTTCACATGCTGCTTGTCATGGCGGTAGCTGGCAGTGTCTCCCTCTTCCTGTTCTCTCAATTCTCTTTTCTGTTAGTCCCGCCTACACTTCCTGCCTGGCTACTGGCCAATCAGTGTTTTATTTATTGACCAATCAGAGCACATACAGACCATCCCACAGCCTTATCACCATCACACACACACACACACACACAAAAGAAAACCAAAACAGTAACAACAACAGAAAACCTCTTCAAATTACAGGTCAACATCTCTGATGAACATTTATTCAACAATACTCAATAGAACCTTGCAAAATGAATGCAAACATACATCAGAAGTACTATCCATCATAACCAAGCAGACTTTATCCTGGAGATGCAGGAATGGTTCAACATACTAAAATCATTAAATGTAATAAACCATAAAGTGGACTGAAACACAAAAATCATATGATCATCTCAATAACTGTAGAAAAGCCTTTGACAAAAGTCAATATGCCTTCATAATAAAAATCCTAGAGAGAACAGGACTGGAGGGAACATTCCTCAACATAACAAAAGATACATGTGACAAACAGATAGCCCACACCATCTTTAACAGTGAAAAACTCAAACAATTCCACTGAAATCAGAAAAGAGACAGGGCTGTCCACTCTCCAGGCCTTTTCAACATTGTACCCAAAACACAAGCTGGAGCAGAGGGACAAGTGAAGAAAATCGAAGGAATACAAATAGGAGAAGTCAAACTATCCCTATTTTCAGATGACATGATATTATTCATAAGAGATCACAAAAGTTCTACCAAAAAGCTTTTTTTCATCATCTATGAAATGATACACAATTTCTTCAGCCTGGCAAGGCATGGAATCAACTTGCACAAATCAACAGCTTTTCTATACTACCAACAAACACACAGAGAAGGAGATCCTGGACATGCTTTAATCACAATAGCCTCAAAGAAAATAATATATCTAGGAACGAACCCAATGAAGAAGGCAAAAGATCTCTACAATGACAGCTTCAATTACCTGAAGAAAGAGATAGAGAAAGACACTAGGAAATGGAAAGACATGTACCCATGGATTGGTAGAATTAATATTGTGGAAATTACCATTATACCAAAGTTCATTTATAGATTTAATGTAATGCCAATCAAAATCTCCTCAGCATATGCCTAGGGGACTTGATATCCTACTCCACACATACTTGCCAGCTATGTTCATTGCTGCTCTAGTCATGATAACTTAGAAATAGAAACAACTGAAATGTCCTTCAGCTGATGAATGGATAATGAAAGTGTGGTACATCAACACTGTGGAATATTATTCATTTGTAAAGAAAACTGAAATTTTCAGGTAAATGGATGAAGCTAGAAAAAAAATCACACTGAGTGAGGTAACCAAGACCCAGAAAGACAAACAGTACATGGTCTCTCTCATCTGAGGGAGTATACATCCTGGATTAATTGCAGAAGCCTGGAAAGCATAAGGGGACCATGTATTGGGGGAGAGCGATAGAGAGGGGAATAGCAAGGTGTAACTGACTTGAAGGAGGAATTAAGGAAAAAGAGGGTGGTACTTTAGTTGGGGAAGGAGAGAGAGATGAATACAGAAGGAAAGTAAAATAATAGTAAGGATATCTAAAAGAAAGTCACAGACAATCATACTACGATCTACCAAAAATTAGATACAATACATACAAATCTGTTTCTACATGTACATATACAGTTTAAAGGAAATATTCCATCTGGGCTTACAATTCTCCCCTTATTCCAAACACCAGGCAGAAGAAGATCTCTTTTGAGTTATTTGTCAAAGTTGTCCAAGAGACTCCCCAAATAATACAGATTATTACTGTTGCCTTTGGTTGCCTCCCAGAGGTAAAAGGTAAGTCCTTATTGCTGAAGACACCTACTTTTCAGATATGGGACTCAGATGACCTGAGCTGGATCTGACTTTAAAGACTCCTTTGTGAATACCAGCTTTTGTGGTACCAGATGTTGCCATATAATCTTCTAAGTGAGGGAGTCAACCAATACTCTTATTTAACTATGATGTATGTGAACCACAACAAATATTCCACAGCATGGCATGACAACCCTAAGGGCACAATAGTGGCATGCATAACTTGGTGGTAGCCACAACGTTCTAAGGTCTTTTAATGTCTGTTTAACATGAGAGAAGCCATGCATGCCTGGTATTGGAACACAGGGTAATGAATTCATAGATCTTGGAAGAGAATCTATAATCACTACTTCACTAAAACAGCATAATTCCTAACTACGTTCAAAATATTTATTCTTATACACACATATAGGTTTTTACCCTTCATCAAAGAAACTTCTCTTTTCAACAGATGGAGACTTTATAGAAAGGCACAACTGGTCAAAATTAAGAAAACAAGAGTTCATGTGGTACCCAGTTCCTACTGATATATCTGTAACATGATTCTTGCACCTAAGGCTTGAACACTGTAGAAGAGGAGTAGAAAGATTGTAAGAGGCAGAAAAATAGGAAGTTTGCTGTGAGATTGTGTCTCCTAGAAATGTTGGAGAGACTACACTCATGAACTGTCATCAACATGGCAGCCTAAACAAGACCCGACCAACAATAACATGTATGGTTGTGCTAACATGGCTAGAGGAAATCTCGTGGGACCTCAACCCTAGACAAAGAACTATAGGCACCTGGGGAATGCTGAGATGAAGATAAATATTCTTCCCCAAGGAAGAGCACTCCAATTGGTTATCCAGTACCAAGAGGTCAGTCATGAGATCACATGTAGGCAGGTAGTCTGATACAGATGAAATAGGTTGTATTTATGCACTTAGGTATATATGTAATAATAATTGAAGAAAAAGAGACAATGAATTTGAAAGAGAACAAGGTGGGATACCTGAGAGGGGTTGGCAGGAGGAAATGTAAGGGAGGAAATTATGTAATTATAATTTTAAAAAATTATTATAAAAAATGAAGTCTATAAAAAGAGATCTGTGTGAAAGAAAAGGGGGAACCCAGTTGAACTTGGGTCATACAAATGAAGCTGTCTTGGATCTTTCTTCCCACCACAACCATTTGGTGTATCCTACTAAGTACCCAAGGTCATCACTGTATAGAGACAAAAAACTGGCCATCTAAGCTCTACTTGAATTCCTAACCATTCCAACAAAAATACTTGTTTTAAACCACTAAGTGTAGAGTACTTAGTCATATGATAGATACTTAGAAGAGATGATAATAAAGTTGTAGATTATGATAATTTTCCTTAGATGATTGAAAGTATTTACTCATGAGTTTCTGGCCCACTGGCAAAGAGTTGAAGCCATTGTGCCT